GATCCTACTATTTAGGGTAGTTGTGATAGTGACTGCTAAGGAACACCTGGACCATTACCAACTATTCAAGCTTATTGGACAAACCATCTGGGGCAGAGTCCATGGTTCAGTGTTGAGATCCTTCACCCGCACAACCGGAGTGATGATTTTTCAGAAGACTGCCTGCAATCCTAGCCTGGGTTATGAAGCCGCTGAAGCTAATCTGTGGGATTTCGCGACACACTTCTAGCCGGACTGTCTCAGAAGACTGAAGCCCAAAAGCTTCAACCCTATAGATACACCCTGATTAAACTTGAACCTTCGATCCTAAACCCCCCAACAGAAGAGAGGAGACGAGCGCCTCGAGATGCTTCAAGTCCTCACGTTCCGGACGACCCTCAGAAGCCCGAAGCTTGCCTCCCCCTCCTCCAATACACCCCCGTGGATCCTGCTAACTGTTGCCGAACATCGTGCTATCGAGTTGTTACTCTGATGCACTTTTTGTGTTGTGATCTCAGAATCGCTCGAGAGCAAGGGGCTCAGCAGCGACACCAGGAAAGCCTCGAAACGTGCTTGGAGTGTGTGGGGTTGGCATCTGTTGCTTGGGTTTAGGCGTAAGGGGTTTTGGGAGTGAGAGGCTGGGAGTGAAGGGTTTCGACTCTCACCACCTGCACAAGGCAGGCAGGGCAACACAAATGACCCACAGCAAACGGATTGTCGGGAAGCCAGGGTTTGAGGCTTGGGTTTAGGACTTATTGTGTTGTTCAGGCTTTCGTGTGATTTGAGCGGGCCTCGTATGTCTAAAGTGTCATGCTACAATGGTTCCTGTGAGTATGCATCAACCCGTATGGTAATCCAGAGCCCAGACTTGCCCTTGATCTCGGACCGCACCATCCAAAATGCTCTGTGGGCCCTCAGCTTAGCATGGACGCCAAGTCCCAACAAGCCTAATGGAGACCCCCGGGCCAAAACTCCCCTTGAAATGAGGTGCGTATGAATAGGCGGAAGTATGCGAACCGCCTTTTCGGCCTGAAAATCAACCCTAAACCCTAAACCTACATCCTGACGCAGCCAACGAAGCAGACGGATTCCGCTTGTCGTCGCCAGAAGCTGCAAGGACGTCCAGCACTTCCTGGCCACGACTTATCCCAGCGCTGGGCTCTTCTGAAGGAACTTTAACTACCATCGCAGGAATCGTAGGTATCATAAGGAAACCCTACTATGGGGCTACGATTTTCCTACCGGGTCACTGAAGTTAAGTTCCCCAACAAAGACCCAGTTTCTAGCCCTGGGGGCAACCCTTTCAGTGTGGGCATCACATGTCGCATAACTTTGAAGGCCTTAAGAATGAGCATAGCGTTTTGGGGGTGTCGAATAGAATACCTATGTCTGGACTTTACGCGAATGATATTGGAGTGTATGAAAGCATACCATGAAGCACCAATAATGCGAATGACATTGCTAATTATTGCGGCTTCTACATCATATTTTCGATTGCTATGTTACGAAAGAAGATGACAGCAACAGCCTGATGCTACAAGGCACGCTCAGCGGGTTCTTCCCAACAGGGTTTAAGGGGGTTAAGTGTCCTTTCAGCTTGGGGCCAGACCCCCGATTCATCTCAAATGTCCTCGGCGTGGGTCGCATCGGTGCGCTCCAGTAGGCGCACGGCAGTGGGATGGAGCCTTCCTGCAAATGTCCACTAGATCGTGGACGGAGACTCCGACGGAGACATCATCTAAGGCGCAGTGTGAAGGACTGCGAATGACTGGGGCATGAATGGGAGCCTGTGCTGCTGCTGCTGCTACTACTACTACTACTACTACTGCCGGCTACACTGCTACTAGGGCTACTAGTTACTAGTACTACTGCTGCCACTGCTGCTACTTCCACACCCTACTACCTCAGTACCACCACTACGAAGGCTCCCATACCTGGGCAGTCAACCCAGGCACCAAAATCGGTAGATTGGGCGAGGACGGGACTGCGAGAAAGCTGAGGGGTTGCCGTTTAGGGTTTAGGGATTAAGGTTTAAGGTTTTTGTTTTTTTTAAAGCCCCTCTTTTGCGTCTGCATGCCAGTGACATACGTCCGCGAAGGCCAGGAAGGCCAGGGGAACCGGGTTAAGGTTCAAGGTTTAGGGTTTAGAGTAACCCTCTTCAGAACTTTAAGCCGTGAGCCAGTAAATTCAATCAGTCGACAAGCCAACAGACGCCACCATATACCCCTTGTCCCACACAAACTGCTTTGCATCCTGAACCACTCAAAGCAACAGCAGAAACCCGAAACCCCCCTCAACCCTAAACCTTAAACCCCTAAACCCTACACCCTACGTCCTAAACCTCGCATTCGTCCAAGAGGCCCGCGAGCTGCGGGAACTTGGAGAGGAGCTTCCTGGCCTCCTCGCTTCCGAGCCTGGGGGAAAAGGGGAACCATGTTAGGCTGTTTAGGGTTTAGGGTTATAATATAGGGTTTAGGCGTTTTGTTTTAGGGTCTTCGGGTTTAGGGTTATAGGGTTTCGGGTTTTAGTTTTAGGGCTTTAGGGTTTAGGGTTATAGTTTTAGGGGTTAGGGTTATGGGGTTTCGGGCTTTTTTGCAGGCTCTTGTCTGACTGCACGAGGTAGCCGAAATTCCCTGCCGGGCGGAGCCAGTGTGACGGCTGGGAAGCTTTGGGAATCCTAGGCTACCTACCACATTAAACTGAACAAGAAATTCCCCAACGAGCTTTGGAGCATTCCGGTAGGACTGAAAACACGGTTTAGGGTTTAGGGTTTAGGGCAGCATTGACTCCCGTAAGTAAGGCCAAAGTTCATGCTCCAGCAGCATCTCAATTCTACTAGTACTGCATTGAACCTGGGGGCTTCACGACAAACCCCTAAACCCTAAACCCTAAACCCTAAACCCTATCTACATATTAGGGTTCCTCACTCGCAACTGGGACAAGCCGGGCGAGGTATGCCTGATACAGGCGAAAGGCACGTTGGCCAATTAACGCGAAGGGCGCCGTAGGGTTCAGGGCTTATTAGGTTTTAGAAAAGAAAGATCATGTAAGAGCCTAAATGATCAGAATTCTAAACCTGTGGGCTCCTTCTCATACTGAACAATATGATGCGGAACTGTGTTCTATTAGTTTTCGGCCCGCTCACGAAGCCTGAACCAAGCCCTAAACCCTGAGTCCTCGACCCCACAAACAAACAGGTTATCACGATTATTATCATCATTATTACGTTGTAGCATCCGTGAAAGCAGCCATCTGGGAGCATACCGTAATTAGAATAAGGAGCCCCAAAAATAGTCTTGGTAATTATTTCGGCTCCTATATTTACTTCCCCAACAAGCCAGGGAAACAAAACGTAAAACTTTCAGATTACTACTACATGACAAGAACCCGAAAAGTTTAAAGGTTGGGTATTGGAGGACTAAGCATATTGCCAATAGTCTCCATTGTAGTTCCTTTTTGGGGGTTGCCATATAGGACCTAAATGTAAACCTGGTTCAACCAGGAAAAGGAACTACAATGGAGGCTATAGGTGGATCCCCAGACAAACCCTGAGTCCTATACTGCAGCAGAGGAGCGAGCTGGAGGTATCCAAGAGCGGGCTTCGGGCGTTCAGGCTGTTGAGTAGGCCCTTCCTCGTTGAGACGGTTGATGTAGGGGGCCTTAATCATTAGAACAGGGTTTTGGGGCCCATTATACTATAATTATAATAAGGAACCCTCACAATACACAATAATATAGACAATTACTACAGTAGGGTTCCGACGCTCGCAACTCCCATTAAGGCCTGAACAAGGCCGAGGGGCTTAGGGTTTACGTAGGTTTCCCGACCCTTATCAAACCTATCATTCAAGCAGCCGCTGCACGCCTTAAGAATCTCAGTTCGGTTTCGATGGAAGGCAGCTGTTCAACTGCTCCCTTGACCACAGGCATTGGAAGGAAAAGGGCTCTGACAGGCGAAGTAAGCATGCCGCCAAACCTTCATCCAGAACGGCATGCTGTCGGAAGTTGCAGAAGAGAGGATTGTCAACCTCTGTTCCCCCGGGCTTATTGTAGAGGCCAGGGATAATGGCTCAGGTACTGACACAAAAGAAGCAAGCAACACTGCGTCAAGTGGCAGCTGCAATACATGCATAACAGTTCTCATACTCGCCTTTGGTGTCGACACCGTTGGATTGCGATGCCTATTATAGGGCTTATTGCTTTTGCTGCTTTTGGAAATTGTTGGCGTATTCCGGTTTTCTGCAGCTACCACTACTGTTATCATTGGTCATGCCTATTTGGGTGCGGCCGTGGCGCAGAAGCCGAGTGGGGTTGTGGTGCCCTTCGGCGTCAGCGACTTGCCGCAAAGCAGCCTGGCGTGCGGCGTTGAGTTCTCTTACGACATGTGGTCTGCACTTCAGTTGCCCGCATGAGCACAGTCTCAGTGTACACGGCTATAAGGTGTTTGTTTGTACTCAAAATTTGACAGTGTGGGATTGGCTAGCTTGTTCAGGGTTGGGGGCCTGCGGGGTCGTTGCAGGTTCGTGGAGATGGTCGTCGGGGATACATTTCTGCAGAGCGCTTTCCCGAAGGGAAAAGCACCACACCGTGAAACCTGTGAATTCTAATGATGCTTTCCTGCAGTGCAGGTTCATGCGTAGTCTTACAGCTTACTGAAAGCCCTTATAGATCCCACTAGTGGAAGAATGCTAGCATTTCAATATACCCCAAACTCCAAAGGGCGAACGCAACCTTTGCATGCAGACCGATGATTTCCTGCTTCGTGCACTCACCAGACGTTGCCGGCTTCTAGGTGGGTGGCTATGCATAGCGAACTCTAAAAACAACGATAACAATACGCAGTATCAGAATCGTGATCATAGTCGCAGTCATAACAATATCCGATTTAGAAGAAGCGCGTGCATGCATGCAGAACATCTGGAAAGTTCATACTACATCACTTGTGGAAGTAGCAGAGAGAAGCAAGACAACTCCATTGAGTATGGCATTTACACCATGAGCAGGAAGTGCGGACGAGCGCATCAAGTCGACACGGCTTCTGCCGCATGCCAGACAAGGCCACAGGACGACCTCTCCTTGGCCTTGGGCAAACGGACGTAAGCAGCAAACTCATTGACGAGAGCACGTGTTGCCTGGGCTCTTCTTGCAAAGCTTCAACCTCAGCCCCTAAGCTACCTACGAGTAAGCAAAGTCAAGCCTATGTTTGATTTGTCCACCCTTCGTGATCCTTAGTGTATATAATAAGTCTTTAACGAAGTTTAACGAGAACCCAGCTGCAGCCTGGGCCTCGTTCGTGTGTTCCTCGTGCGAGGAGTTGGCGGAAATCCCACCTTTCCTCGAACTGAACCGCCCCGGCTTATAGCTCTGCTTGTCGGCCCCGTACCGCATGAAACGAAGAACCCCCTTGTCGGCATGCCAGTATCTCAAGGTGCGCTCGACATCGTCTTTGATCTGTCCCGTTCTGGTGTAGAAACGTCGCTCATGTGTCACTCGGAAACCGAACCAGGCACCATACACCAGGCCAAGCCTCTGCGAGTAGTCCTGAAAAACACCTGTCTTGGCGGCCCTCTTGCGAAGATCATCACCAGATGACCTCAAGAAGAAATGATTTCTGGAGGGATTCACACCCCACAGATGCAGACCACGCTTCCGCATTTCGCGCCCAGCGTGCTTTACCAGCTCGGACAGCTCTGGCTCCGTGTCAGCTGAGCATTTTTTGGCCTTCTTGGACGGCAGTGCCAGCAGTCTGGGCGGCATCTTCGAATACTCGTCAGTGTCCCCGGCTGCGGCTTCATGGCATCTCTTTCGCTTCCTCTTTGACAAACCTATGGCCGTAAGAACAGTATCCATTCGCTGTGCAGGCAGGGTCTTGAATGCAACGAGAGATGTGACCTTCGCTTTACGGAGAATTTTTTCGACATCCAGAGTCTTCTTTGCAATTTCTGGGCAAACTCCACGCAGGAAACACATGAGGTCTGATTCCTCTACTGTGGTCAAGCCAGTGCCCCACAATGGGCTGATACAGTCTTCCCTCTTCAGGGATCGTGCGTAGCACTCGATGATACCTGCCGCTTTCTGCTCAGCGACGACGGCATCGTCCGGAATTTCCACGATCAACTTCTCGATGTTGTCATCCATGACCACAATGTGACTGCCTAGTGGAGAGGCCTCCTCCATGAAGCGAACCTCGAGGTAAAACACCACTTGAAAGCTCCCGGGTGCGTAAAACTGGGTATACTTCTGTCCTCTTCTCTAGTTGTGAAAGACTCTCGGACCCCAAGCCCCACAAACCCTAAGTAGTACTTAGCTGTTGTCGACCGCACTCCCACCCAGGCCTGGAGATGTGCCCCTTGAACGCCGACCACCAGTCGGCCTTCCCACTTCGTGCCAGCGAGTGCAGCAGAATACGCGCCAGAGATCCAGGCATCATCTGTGTGGGACACGAAGATCAAACAATGCTTGTACGCTTCTGGGCCGAGGGCCAACTCCAAAGCAGCCAGGGTCAACTGACGCAGACCCTTCTCCGCACTACGAAGCTTTTTTTCCCAGATCTCCCGTGGCTGCAGAGCCTTCTCAGCCAGCATCTTGGCCGTCTTGACCTGCAAATTCTTCACACCGGCCTGCTTCAGGTCGTCGTGAAATTTGTGAGCGGGATTCCTGGCCAACTTTCTCAAGTCCTGGGCTCTGGTGAGGATGCGTTTTGTTGCGGTACTATAACAGCGGCACATGATATCCAATAGTAACCTCTGCAACATGAACCCAAATTACGCACGGCCCTAATTAAACCCTCAACCTTTTTTGTTTTTCTCTCTCTCTCTCTCTATCACAGGACCCCTAAACCCTAGACCCCAAAACCGCGTGCAAGTAGGAGCTCAGGGCGGGGCCACTTCTGCCTTTTCTGCGTCCTCTTTTTTGTGCTCGAGGGATCGGCCGAATTTGGTCTTGACACTTGTGCCTACTTAGGAGAATTAAAGGCTAACCTGTGGGGTTATATAATTATATACCCTAAACCCTAAACCCTAAACCCTAAACCCTAAACCCATAGGGTTAAGGATGCTCAAGAGCCCAGCCCGGGGCAACCAGCAGCGGCATGTACAACCCACCACACCCCACCTATCTCCCTCTACAACCCCGTCCTGGACCCCGGGCAGCGAATGTTTTCTTTGGAGGGGGCCACAATGCACAGTGCGACCTTAAAGGCGTAAGCCTTCAATGCAAGCATATAAACACAAACAACCCCAGAGTAGATGCAAAGTTCCGTGCCAAAGAAAACCTCAAAACTATCAACGCTTATCAATAGTCGAACCTCGTTCAATACGACGTCCCTAAACCCTAAACCCTAAACCCTAAACCCTAAACCAAAAAAGATCAACCCAGGCTCCGGCAAACCCAGATTGGCAGATCTCAGCTTCCTTTCCAGCAGCCCAGCCTCTCCCTTGCCGAAGACGCCTGGGCTCAGAGCCACGGTTTAGGGTTTAGGGTTTAGGGGCTCTTGTCTCCCTGGTTCTTTGTAGGGAATGGGGAAATTGGCTATGGGACAAGCAGATATATATATATATATATTTATTTATTTATTTATTTATTTATTTATTTATATGGTGTTATATTATATATATATATAGAAGCTACGATCACAGGGACCCATGCCTCCATTCAACCACGGAGTTGTTAAGGAACTTGGTTTCAGATACCATAATCCGGAATGTAAACAGTAAAACATGATGCCGACTGCATATCCCCGTTATGGCAAAGGAACTGGGCTCGGATTGAAACTAAGTTAGCATGGGACACATTGTTTTAGAGTGCTGCACGGTTTCGACGAACCTACTTTAAGCGAGTTCTTAAAAAGAGAACGGAAAACATTTTTCCCAAGTACCCAGTACCCGATATGGCATGGCAACTTAGTAAAGACTAAAACGCTCCTAAACAAGAACAAAGGTGCTGTGGAGGAATCGATGAAGCTCGCTTTGTTGGCATCTAACGCCTGGAAGTTCCAGAAAATGATGCCTCCTAGCATACCATGCCTCCCTAACATACCCGAAACTACTGCACTACCGGTTGGTGCTAGTTCTTACACTTGTGTTCGTTTGCATGCGCATGTATGTATACAGCATACCCAGTTAAATCTATTTTGTACACAATTATGTGATATATATATATATGTGTAGTCAGAGATGTTTTGAAAGAGAGCGAGAGACAGCGAGGGAGAGAGAGAGAGAGAGCGAGAGAGACAACATAAAAAGGAAACAAACTCGGCACACAAAGGGTATGGCAGCCAGAGCGAGACATCAAACAAGTCAACCCCACACATAAGGGATATGACTCAACCCTAAACCTTAAACTCTAAACCCCTAAACCCTAAACCCTAAACGGCATGACAGCATCCACCTGGCCGCCCGTAGGTCCGGATACAAATCAGCCATTTATCATCCGGCCGCCCTGGCTGCTCATCCAAAGCCTGCCACTCTTTGCGATCTTTGGTTTACGCTCTCACAACTCGGACTTCCCGGGTTTAGGGATTTTTCTTGCCCGGGTGTAGGGTTTAGGACTTAGGGTTTATATGGCTTAGGTCTAAAGTTGAGGCTGAGCTTCGACTCAAGGGTAGTAGACTGAATACCCGGCACCTCTGCTTCACCGTGATCGCATTGAAGGCAACTACTGCTTCATGTTGCAAACCTTTTTGTTCCTGTGTCCCATGCCTGTCACTAAACTCTAATGTAAGGGCCTTGATTCTAAGTTGTGGGGTATATTACACTTTCAATATAATACGGAACCCCCAAAGTAGCATCGGTAACTATTAAGGCCCCTATATTAAACCCTGGCCCTACACTCTGCCTGTCGTACCCGGACACGAGCCGTCGCAAGAAGGGCTTGGACCCAGGGATGTCGAAAGACGGCATCCCCATGACATGGTCCAGGAGCCAGCCCTTCTGCATAGGGCTCCGTGGGGTTGGCCAGGCCGTCTCTGATCACCTGGGGTTTAGTCTTTTTGTTTGAGGGCCTTTTGCGTCTGCATGTCTGCATGTGGGTAGTGCTCTTGATTAGAAACCTTTTATAAGGGTGCCGTACTATATTGGGGACCTAAAAATGGACCCTAATTTGGAAAACTACCCCATGTGGGGTTTAGTTTAGGGTTCAGGGTTAGAGGTTTGGGGTTGAGGGTGTGCGCCACGGCTGCTGGAGCCCATGACCCATCTTTTGGGTTCCCCTGATACCCTACACATCTTTCCACCCAGCGGATGGGGCTTTGGGGCTTAAGGCTTAGAGTTTAGGGTTTAGGGTTTAGGGTTTAGGGATCAGGGTTTAAGGTTTAGGGAATTCCACCCTGTAACCCTGGACCCAGGACTGGTCAAGGTGTCCTTATTGAGGTATTCATGCCTTTGGATATTCAGAAGTGACGGTAGTTACGGGTGTTTTGTGTCGGGACTCAGCAAAAACAAATCCTGTAGAATTAAAGTAGGGTTTGGGGGTAGATGACACTATAAACAATCAGGAACCTCCAAAATAATATTGGTATTCAGTTAGGCGCCTATAATATATGGAAGGCAGTGGCTGAGATCGGGTTTCCGAAGCCTGGCACCTTGGCTGCAGTTGGAGGATGACCTTCGCAAATGTTCAATGCAGACGCCGCCAAACGCACGTCACATCCCAGCTCCAGGGCCATCGACGCGGCGACAGAGGCCATGGGGTCTTTCTTAGGGCTCATGTTGAGTGCAAAAGAGAGCTAGGGCACCTGCTACCAGCACTTCTACCTTAGCTTGATTCGTTCCATGACCCGAACTGTAACAGTGTCACCCTAAACCCTAAACCCTAAACCCTAACCGAAGCTGGTAGAGACTGTCTGGCTTGCCAACGCGAAGGTAGCAGGTCGTGGACGACTCCCGTGCTGAAGTCCTGAGCAACCTCCTCTTACCGATTCTTGCCCAATGAGCTCAACAACTCAATCAAACACCATACCCAAAATCATGGCTAAGCACCATGCAGCTTCAAGGTGCATTGCCTTTTCAAGGCATGTTGGGCGCTCTGTGAACCAGCCTACAGAGTTTGCGCAGGTATGGCCGCTGGTGTGACGGGGCGTGTTGCTGTCGGTGCGGGGAGCGGGGAGCGATGCTCGTAAAACCAACAATGCCAACAATGCCATGCAGACTAACGAAACCAAGATAGCATAAGGATGATCAAAATGAGCGGTCGTTCGCATCTTTATAGCAAGATTGCCTTGTAAACGGAAAACAGCAGGAACAAGGTTAACTATTGCGACGACGGCTGCTACTAGCCTTATTAGTACACGATCGTCAAGGTACGGGTCAGCAACCCTGTTTGTCACCGGCGGCAGCCCTCCGCCCCTGACTCAGCTGTAAGTGATGCCTACATCTACAGTATAGAGCCGTGAGTTTCGTAACCATACAAGAACCCTGTCAAAGCCTAAACCCTTAACCCCGAACCCTAAACCGTTGAACCCCTCAAAGGAACCCCTTGATTCCAAGCATCTAATCGAAAGGGACTGAGCTCTTGTGACATTTTTTGTTGTCGCCCCCGGGGCCTGGTACCCGAAGCTTCTGACCCGCTTCCGCTTCATAACCCAAACTTTTATACCCCAAGGGTCCATGTACTCATATGGTATACTGCGGCCTTGAGTTGTCCATATAATGGTTGCTCTATGGCTCGCTTATGTACTATTTGCCTACATGGACCCATGGGATAAGATTTATGCCAACGATGCTTCGATCTCTGAAGCATCCGTGATGTTACACTTTGACATACAAAACAACCCTCCTTACAACCAAACAAGAGCCTGAGCCACAAAGCCCTAAAGCCCCTATAAAACCCTTAAAGACTCCCGGAGGAATCCGTAAAGGAACCCTCATAAGAGAACCCTCAAAGGGACGCTTGAAGAACACTTCAAGGAATCCGAATAGGTCTTCCACTTCAGTGCAACGCGCATGCGTGCGTGCGCAGGCGCCTCCGCGTCCGCCGCATCCGTCAACGCAATTGCCGTCAGAACATCAGCCTCACACATCTCCTGCGTTGGAAAGGATTTAAGGTTAGTTTGGGGTCTAGTGATTAGGGTTTAGAGTTTAAGGTTTAGGGTTGAGGGATCCCAGGGGGTCTGATGGTGATCTTTGCTTGAGAAGCGCCACAGAACGCCGGTAGCTACATGCCTGCCCCACCTAAAGCACAAATATAAAGATCCGAAAGCTGACATTGTCAAAACACCTAAAGCACAAATGTAAAGCTCTGAAAGCTGACTCTGTCAGATCACAACCCAGAGACTCCAACATTCCTTAATTAAGGAATATTCCTTAAACTATAGTAGGATCCTTAATATGATTTAGGGTATATTCCTTAATTAAGGGATATTGGAGTCTCTGGGAAAGCATTAAAGTTACACCTAAACCGTATGCAAACAATGTGGGAAGAAACAGGTGGATAGGTTGACGACAGCCTGATAACGCTGTCCACACCCCGAACCCACATAATCATCACAATTGATACTGGAACTTACATTAATAACAATATTAAATGTAATATTATCTTACAAAAATACAGATATTAGTACTGATATCGGATATTCATACTATTCTGCTGATACCCTTTTTTACACAGGCTTGATTGAAGTTCGCCCGGCCAGATTCCCTGCAGCATAGGCCTATGCGGCTACTTATCTTATAAGTGCTACCTCTAAATCCTATTCCTGACATGCATATAGATAGTTCTCTAAAATAGGGTCCCTTTTTGGGTCCCCAATATAGTACGGCACCCTTATAAAAGGGACCCTAAAAGGGACCTTAATTTAGAGAACTACCCATATAGATATTGTTACAACAGTCCGACCTGCAGCTGCGGAAACTCGCGCAGAAGCTGCTTCAGCCCATCGTCGCCGAGCGGCCTTGTTGCGGGTTCAGGGACTTTGGGGTTTAGGGTTTAGGGTTAGGGTTTAGGGTTTAGGGTTTAGGGTTTAGGGTTTAGGGTTTAGGGTTTAGGGTTAGGGTTTAAAACTTAGGGTTTACGGGCTTCGGTTTACGGTTTTTGGTCTAGGAGTTTGGGGGACTAGGGTATCATCTGACATGGTTTCACATCTGACACTAAAGCTAAGGCCATGCAGGTTAATTATAGTGGGAGCCCCAGACCGTCTTGAAAATGAGTGCACCATGTTCCTACGTTCTGTTTTGAAAATAAGACTGCAGGGGGAAACCCCCGACCACTAGGGGACCTGGTTCTCTTTTGCAAGGTCTCTGCAATCATATCGAACCCCACTGTCTCTAAATCCTGCATCGTAGTGACACCTAAGCCGGATACACATGTAAAGCCTTGCGAGTCACTGGGTTACCAGGGTTTACAGTCCTACACCCTGAACCCTGGTGACTCTTATGCTCATTATATTAACCCTTATACTCTCAGAACCCCCTTCATGCTTCTGATAGTAAACCTTATATTGAAAATAGAAACCTGTACACTCTTTTCAGTGACCCTTATACTTGTTGTAAGAAAACCCGTGCAGTATCATACTTTTCGCAGTAGATATCATACTTGCAATTATTGTAGAAGCCCTTGAAATCCCATGAACTTTTGTACGGACTACAGTAACCCCTATACCGCTTAAATAAACAAACATGTACGAATTTTAGAAGCCAATAAGCCTTTTTTTCTTTAATTTGAAACCCATACTTGCATCTGGGTCGTTCTCTAAATTAGGGTCCCTTTTAGTTCCCCAATATAGTAAGGCACCGTTATAAAAAGGACCCTTAAAAAGGACCCTAATTTAGAGAACTACCCTAAACCCTAAACCCTTAGCCCATACACCGTTTCTTTGATGAGAAACCCACACTTGCATTTGGGAGTTTCCGAAAAGAGGGGACCCTAATATAGCACCCTAAATAATAGGATCCTTATTAGAAGGACCCCCAAAATAAGGTACCCCATATTTTTCTGAAACCCCCATTTGTTGCCAGCGCCACCTGTCAGTATTTCGAACCCAGGACTGCTTTCTTCGTGGTCGCAAGCGCTGCGTCAGAAGCGAGATGAGGTAGGCTGACTGGTCCTGAGGAGGGTTTCAGGGTTTTACGTTTAGGGCCCCGGGTTTAAAACTCTGAGTTTCTGGATTCTTGAAGCCAGCGAGGAATCCTAGGGAGAAATCGCGGAGGTTTGAGTGTTTTCGGTGGAAGAACCGCAAAACATGAGTCGACAGTCTGCACGCTTTACGCTCAATACTCAAAACAAGCTAGCTAGCTTGAAGCCAAGTCCCACACCCGAATGTGGGGGGGCTTGAATAGATAGAGTAAGCTTGCGGGGTACATTATACTGCTACTGTACCCATAGGCCCCATAGCAGTTCCTTTTTGGGGTTCATACATAGAATCCTATAAGGTAATCCCAAAAAAGAACTACCATGGGGCCTATGGGTAGTTACCTGCCCTAAACCCTATAAACCCTAAACCCTAAACCCTAAACCCTAAACCCTAAACCCTAAGGAGAGGCCCGGGTAGCTGACTCTGGCGGATTTCAGAAAGGCCTCGGCTCGACCTGAAGCCTTCCGACACCCAGATCTTCCGGGTTGAGGGTCCTAGGGTTTGGGGTTAAGGGTCCTAGGGTTTAGGGTTTAGGGTCCTAGGGTTTACAAATTCCCTAAATTCCCGTAATTAAAGAATAATAAACTGCACGTCAAAAATGTAGTAGGCTCCCTAACATGATTTAAGGTCTATCCCTTAAAATCCCTTTATTTAAGAATAAACTGTACCTCAGAAATGTAGTATGCTCCCTAGTATGATTTAAAGTCTGTTCCTTAAATAAGGGATTTTGCGCAAGGTCTGGACAAGGAGCCAGGTCGGAGGTGGCGGTCTCTCGGAAGATTCTGAGTACCTCCAGGCGTCTCCGTGGGCTTTGGGAGGGTTATGGGGTACGTGCGTTTTACAATTTAAGTTTAAGGGCCTGAATAAGAGAATAGGGTTTTGGGGCCCAATATACTACATTCATAATAAGGAACGGGGAACCCCCAAAATAATGTAGGGAATCATTCAAGTCCCTATTTTACCCATAGTGTCCTTGCAATCATTGTAGTTCCTTGTTTGGCTAAACCAGTATTACTGTAGATTTAGGATCCTATAAGGCAACCCGAAAAAGGAACTAGTGGAGCATTCATGTCAGCAGGACCTCAGGCCTACAGTCTACAGGGTTTAGGGTTTAGGGTTTAGGGTTTTGGGTTTTGGGGTACACTCACAACCGCCTTAGCTCATACGATCTTACATTATACTATACTACGTTATAGTATATTGTATCATATATTAAGATACAGTATACTATCATATCTTGTACTATATTATACAAGGAGACTCGGTTATAATACTGAAATACAATTAGTCCTGAAAGAACCCTAGTTGGCAATATTCAGGCTCATATATGCAGACCCGGAAACTGCACTGTGGTCTTCCCCTGACACAATTCAACACTGCCCTAGAATGACAGCCCAAACTAAACCCCATTAAACCCAGCCTATTACTCCACAGCACCTCTGAACCCTTGCAGTCCTGATGAATTTATGCAAGAATCTTCCAACAACACTCGCCGAATTGTAACTAATCCCACCCTCCCAAACAAAACAAGCTAAAACCCTAAACCCCAAACCCTAAACCGTAAACCCCACAACGTCAGTCCTCCTTGGCGTGCCCGGCACTGCTGCGCCCCAGGAGCCGCCATGCGCAGGGTCGAAGCTCTGCCTTTCTGCGGGTTTGGGGGTTTAGGGTTTAGGGTTCGGCTTGGGACCACTGTAGTGGTCTGAATTATTAGAATAGGGTTTTGGGGTATATTATACTAGGATTATACTAAGGCGCCCCCGAAATACTATTGGTAATTATTAGAATAGGGTTTTGGGGTATATTGTACTAGAATTGTAATAAGGAGCCACCGAAATAGTATTGGTAATTATTTTGGCCCCTATATTATATACCTAAGGGGTCTTAGGTGCCTATGTACTAGACTGTAGGGTTTCTATAATGGGAATTACTGTTACCTTCTGGTTTGGTCAGGGCCCCTCCTTCAGGTACTGAGGACCCTTTGGGGTAGGGGCTATACGACCTCAAGCACGTTAAAGGTTACGAATTACTATAAGCAAGTGTTTACCACTTAGACTTTAAGGGCTTCTGGAGGTTTGGGGTTTAGGGGGCTTCTCGAGGTGTAGCACAACAAGTACCAGCAGTTAGGGCTCAGACTGGTATAGGTGCATAGGGTTCGGAGTTTACAGGTCTATGAAGAGAGCTTTCGGAAGTTTGGGTTGGGAAATTTAACACCCTAAACCCTAAACCCTAAACCCCGAAACCCCGAAACCCCGAAACCCTAAACCCCTAAACCCCTAAACCCTAAACCCCGAAACCCGAAACCCGAAACCCTAAACCCTAAACCCTAAACCCTAAACCCTACCCCCTCAACCCTAAACCCCTAACACCCAAAAAAAGACCCGTGGCAGGCGGCTTTAGGCTCC